TCAACCTGTTCCTGGAACAGTCCCTGTGGTGGGCCCCTTGGGAGGCGCCCTGCGTGGTCACTCCTCCCCTCAGCACCCACCGTTCTCTGAGTGTCCCCCCGTTGGCCCCATGTCAGGCCCTCTTGAGGAGAGGCGAGCTTTTGAGCATATGTGAGGAGCAGCTATCCTTCCTGGGAGCTGAGACCATTGGAACACTGGGCAGGCCTCTGGGGGGATGGGAGGCAACCTGTTTTCCTCCTTTTCATTTCTGGGTGATGTTCGTGGTTCATCCGCATTGATTGTGTAAGAGATCTTTGATGGCAGGCTGACTCGGTAAGCTGCCGCCCCCACAGTGACTCATCCCGATCCATAGGCAGCTGTGGGCACGACTGTGGAATTATCAAACAGTACAAAACTCAGAAGGGGCTCTCACAGCTCTGTCTGCTTAACTGGAAGGTCATGGTTTTGGGGTGTTTTTTTTTTTTCTTCCACTGAAGACACTACTCTCAAGAATGTTTTGTTCATTTAAATTGAAAAGTGATTAATGGTTAGTTTGTCTTGTTACTTCCTAAGAGGCACCTAAAACCCTTCTACAAAATACATTCCCTGAAAAAAGTTAGGTGAGCAGAAAGAATGGAAATGTCCTTTAACTTGGGTGGGATGGAACTGGCATTGCCTGTTATATTTGGTCAGTTTCATCGCCTCTCTCCTTGACCTTATGGTTTCCATTATTGTGGTCATGGTGTATATCATTCTTTCGGCTCTCCCTTTTCTGTCTGCATTTCCTTCTTTAAGTCTTCCTGTGTTCTTCCAAATTCTTCTTAGCCATCTTTCTTTGTGGCTCAGTAATAATGATGATAGACTTCATTTGTCTAGCTCTTTAAAGCTTGCAAAGCGCTGTACCAATTGGGTGGTCTGTGCTCTTCTTAGCCCGCTTCTTCACAGATGAGGAAGTGGGTCTGAGAGGTTTGCCCAAGCTCACACAGCTGCTTTGACTTCTCATGTACCTTTAGAAAGACATCTTTTGATAGTCTTTCTGTTACAGGCAGCTGGTGGCTCAGTGAATGCAGTGCTGGGTCTGGAGTCAGGAAGATGTGAGTTCACATCTGGCTTCAGACGCTTACTAGCAAGTCACTTAACCTCTTTTTGCCTCAGTTTCCTCATCTGTAAAATAGAGATGATAACAGCAAGTGTATGGGTCCAATGTAGCCTTCTACTGGGAGTGAGGTGGACAGTGCTAAAGGGAGTGCTGATGAGTGTGTTGGGCATTAGGGGTTAGCCTTCTTTGCTCCTAGTTCGTTGAATCTTTACCTTGTATGTCATGGAGACTGCTGAAATCCATGGTATACAGCTCCTGTTTGGGAGAGGTGTGAGAGGTCATGAGAATTGGATAAAATGTCTGATCCTCTCTTTTTTTTTTAATGAATTTATTTTGAATTATCAGCAATCACTTCCATAAGCTTTTGAGTTTTAAATTTTTCTCCCCCTCCCTCTCCACCTCCCTCCCCAAGACAGCCCACAATCTGATATAGGCTATACATGTACATTCCTATTAAACATATTTTCACATTAGTGATGTTGTAAGTAAAAATTAAAACCAATAGGAGGAGCCATCAGAAAGAGGAAACAAAACACAACAGAAGAAATAAATAGCAAATAGTATGCTTCGATCTGCATTCAAACTCCATAGTTCTTTCTTTGCATGTGGATAGCATTTTCCATCATGAGGCCTTTGGAGATGTCTTAGATCCTTGCATTGCTGAAAAGGGTTAAGTCTATCAATATTAGTCATCGCACAACGTGGCTGTTACTGTGTACAACGTTCTCCTGGTTCTGCTCACTTCACTCAGCATCAGACCATACGAGCCTTTCCAGGTTTTTCTGAAGTCAGCCTGTTTATCATTTTTATAGCACAATAGTATTCCATTACATTCATATACCACACCTTGCTCAGCCATTCCCCAATTGATGGGCATCCTCTCAATTTCCAACTCTTGGCCACCACACAAAGAGCTGCTATAAATATTTTTGTACTCATGGGTCCTTTTCCCATTTGTATTATCTGTCTGGTATATAGCCCTAGAAGTGCTATTGCTGGGTCAAAGGGTATGCACATTTTTATAGCCCTTTGGGCATAATTCCAAATTGTTCTCCAAAATGGTTGGATCATTTCACGATTCCACCAACAATGCATTAGTGTTCCAATTTTCCTACATCTTCTCCAACATTGATCATTTTCTTGTTTTGTCATATTGGCCAATCTGATAGATGTGATGTGGTACTTCAGAGTTGTTTTGATTTGCATTTCTCTTATCAATAGTTATTTAGAGCATTTTTTCATATGACTATAGATGGCTTTAATTTCTTCATCTGAGAACTGCCTATTCATATCCTTTGACCATTTATCAATTGGAGAATGACTTGTATTCTTATAAATTTGACTTAATTCTCTACATATTTTAGAAATGAGGCCCTTATCCGAGAGACTGTTTGTAAAAATTCTTTTCCAGTTTTCTGCTTCCTTCCAAAACTTGGTTGCATTGGCTTTGTTTGTGCAAAAACTTTTCAATTTAATGTAATCAAAGTTATCCATTTTGCATTTTGTAATGTTCTCTGTCTCCTGTTTGGTCATGAATTCTTCTGTTCTCCATAAATCTGATAGGTAAACTATTCCTATCTATACTATCTACACTGTACAGTATCAGCCTTTGTATCTAAATCATGAACTCATTTTGACTTTATTTTGGTATATGGTGTGAGATTTTGATCTATGCTTAGTTTCTGCTATACTCTTTTCCAGTTTTTCCAAGCAGTTTTTGTCAAAGAGTGAGTTCTTATCCTAGAAGCTGGGGTCTTTGGGTTTATCAAACAGTAGATTACTATAGTCATTGGCTACTGTGTCTTGTGTACCTAACCTATTCCACTGATCCACCACTCCATTTCTTAGCCAGTACCAAGCAGTTTTGATGATTGCTGCTTTATAGTACAATTTAAGATCTGGAATGGCTAGGCCACCTTCCCCTGCATTTCTTCTCATTAATCCCCTTGATATTCTGGACCTTTTGTTCTTCCAAATGAATCTTGTTATTATTTTTTCTAACTCTATAAAATAATTTTTTAGTAATTTGATTGGTTTGGCACTGAATAAGTAAGTTAGCTTAGATAGAATTGTCATTTTGATCCTCTCTCTTGCCGGTCCTGTGACCTGGAAGGCCCAGCTTCTCACCTTTTGGAGCCTCCCAGGCTTCAGGGTGTTGGGGAGGGGGAATGTGCAACAGATGTATGAGGGGACAGTGACAAGAGCTGTACAGGATGGGCAGGCAGGGCTGGCTAGTGATCGCTGCTGTTGGAGAGCACTCCCAAACTGAGGAGATCATGCACCTCTTTGAGGTTTTGTGTAAGTGTAGAGATGGGTTCGTTGGACTTTGGATTTTTTTTAACCAATTTATTTATTTTTAGTTTTCAACATTCACTTCCATAAGATTTTGAGTTTTAAATTTTCTCTCCCTCCCTCCCTTCTCCCCTCACCAAGATGGCGTGCAATCTGATATAGGCTCTACATATACATTCAGATTAAACATATTTTCACTTTAGTCATGTTGTTTTGTTTCTTTTTTGGGGGGGGGAGGATGTGAGGCAAATAGGGTTAAGGGACTTGCCCAGGGTCACTCAGCTAGTAAGTGTGTCAGGTGTCTGAGGCCACATTTGAACTCAGGTCCTCCTGACTTCAGGCTGGTGCTGTATCCACTGCACCACTTAGCTGCCCCCATATTAGTTGTAAAGAAGAATTAGAACCAATGAGACAAACCATGAAAAACAAGAAACAAAACAAAGCAAAAAAAAGAGCAAATTGTATGCCTCGATCTGAATTCAGACTCCATAGTTCTTTCTCTGGATGTGGATGTGGATAGCATTTTCCATCATGAGACTTTTGGAGATGTCTTAGATGCTTGCATTGCTGAGAAGAGCCGAGTCTATCAGAGTTGGTCACGTCACAGTGTTGCTGTTACTGTGTACAATGTTCTCCTGGGTCTGCTCACTTCACTCAGCATCAGACCATGCAAGTCTTTCCAGGCTTTTCTGAAATCAGCCTGTTGATCATTTCTTATAGCACAATAGTATTCCGTCACATTCATATACCACAACTTGCTCAGCCATTCCCCAGTTGATGGGCATCCTCTCAATTTCCAATTCTTGGCCACCACAAAAAGAGCTGCTGTGAATATTTTTGTACATGTGGGTCCTTTTCCAAACATTTGTATGATCTCTTTGGGATACAGACCTCGAAGTGCTATTGCTAGGTCAAAGGGTATGCACAGTTTTGTAGCCCTCTGGGCATAGTTCCAAATTGCTCTCCAGAATGGTTGGATCAGTTCACAACTCCACCAACATTGCATTAGTGTTCCGTTCAATGCACTTTGAAAGCAACTCTCCTTGTTATGGATGCAGTGAGGAACAAATACTACAGTATCCAAAAGGGGTAAGGTAGGTAACCAAGGCTCGAAGAGGGGTAGAGTCAATTTAAAGTGACTCATCTGACTGGGTTTTAATATGCATTTTCATTTGGAACCCATTAAAAATCAGCCCGAGAAGGTTAGTTGCTTGAGAGTTGCTGGAGCTAACGACCAGGCCTAGATCTAGTCTGTTTCTTAAGTGTCAGGGTGAAGGATGACACTTAGCCAGAGCTAGTTAGTCAGTGCCCTCAGCCAAAGATGTCCAAGGGGAGATAACTAGCTTTTCATGGTCCCTGTTAACGAGTTATTTTTATTGGAATTAGAGAGAAATCTCTAAGGGGCCAGAAAACTCATCACTGTAACGGAGACACACAATCTGAATCAGTTGGTTTGGAGAAGGAAAAGGAAGACATGCATACAGGAGCAGCCATCAAGTCTGGGTGGCCTGGAGCCATCTCTGCTGCTCCCTGCTGTATCCATCCTGCCTTCCCCACTCTGAGGACTGACTCGATACTTTCCCCCATTTCAGTAACTCTCTGATAGCTCCCTTTCTAAATCTGCTTCCAGGCTGAGGCCCGACTGGCAGCCAAGCGGGCCGCCCGAGCTGAAGCAAGAGACATCCGGATGAGGGAGTTGGAGCGGCAGCAGAAGGAGGTAAGAGGGAGTGGGAGAGGTGTGTGAGGACATTGCCCCAAGAAAAGGAGAGCTGTTCTGTCCCCTGTGACCAAAACCAAACAAGCCACCGCCATAGAGGCTGGCAGGTAGACATGTGAGCGGACATGGTGTGGGATGTCAGGGATGTTTTGGAAAGTCGCTCATGTCGTGAAGTAAGTCAGAATGTTCATCTTGATGCATGTGGAAATCGGGGTGATTACTGAAATTCACCAGTCATTTTTCTCCTCTTCCATTTGGCTCAAGCTCTGCAAATTCCCATGTTCAGAAAGCTTTTGATGCCATGTACCAAGTTGTTCTGTGATGGGGAGATAGTCCTGGCTAAAATATGAGAAGTTTCCTTTTGATGTTGGTGATTGGTCTCTTGATTATACCCTTGAGCAAATGGGATTTACAGCTCCTGTGTTGTCCCAGCATCATCTAACCCTGTGCTTTATGCATGGAAATCACAGCACATCTGAGACAGATGAGGCATTGCTTAGCAGTTACCCTTCAGGGTCTTATCTGGCCTTTCAGACCAGTGGGATGACTTCTTTCATGCCTGGCCTGCCCTTGACTAATTAACACTGAATTTTGCCTGTATGGCCCTCTTACGTTCAGTAACCTGTCTTGCTACTGCTAAGATGTAGATGGTGTTGTGAATGAAGTACTCGCGGAAGACTTTCACTCACTTCCGCATTTTTGTGAAATAACGTTTTTGCCTTCTTAGCACTCCTATCGTTCCTGTGATCGAAAATGGGGCCAGATTCAGAAGTGGATGGTAGGCCCAGAAAGACTACTGTTGTGCATGGGAGGTGCACTTAACTGACGAAGTGGAGTGAAGTGGCCATGTACTAATCATTTGCAGTGTGCACCACTGTGTGAGGGTGTTTGGAGTGTGGGGTGGGGACAGAGTTTGTCTGGGGAAGGGGAGGCAGCCATTTTGTTTTGTCCAGTAACCTCACATTTGTGTTGTGGACAGTCCTATGCAACAAGGGCCTGGGACACTGTTTCTACTAGAGTTCCTTTTGTGAGTGTGGTGGGTTTTTTTAGGTCTTGGTCTCTTAATATATTTTTGGTCTTGAATTACTAGGTTGGCAGGATGTGTTTGAAGGATGACCCAAACCATTTTTCTAAAAATGTCTTGGAGGATTTTGCTAATCTTGTCATTTTAGCTTTCTTAGCTTCATCTTTGTTCATAGGCCCTGCCCATGTCCCCAAATTGGAGGCCACAAGAGGAAGCCATGAACCAGAGGGAGGTTTCCCAATGGCAGCTGGGAATAACCACTTCGAGTTCTTTCTATCGAAATGTGTGATTGGCAGACTTCCTGACCGGCTCCTGCTCTTAGCACACAAGCTTCTCTTGGAATCAAGTTTAGTCTTTTCAGACAATTAAAAAGTACAGTCAGGAGATTGATTAGGACTAGAATGTAATTCAGCAGAGTTATTTATAAGCTAAAACCTCCACTAAAACAAAAAGTATAGAAGTTATTCTATTTAGACAAAGCTCCACTGGCATCTAATCTGGGTACAGACATTGAAAATCTACTCTCTGTTTAGAAATTGCTGGAGGTGGAGCAGGGAAGGAGGCTGTTTGGAATGAGGAGAATAGTAGACTTCCCCTGGCCTGTGTTCTGACATTTTCTTATTTCCATTAATTCCAGAAAAGAGAAATGATTTAGTGCCACATATGCACACAGATGACCACGAATGGCTAATTTGGAATATCACTTTGGTCTAACTGGAGGCTTTCAAGTTATTAGTGGGCAAATATTTGCTTCATTAATGTGGCATTCTAGTTTCTGTGTATGAGAAAAAGGTTCAGTTTTTAACAGTTTTTATGTCTAGCATTCATCAGTTCCTTTGAATTTTAATAATGTTCCAGATCTTTTCTGATTTGATAAAGTATTAGAGGTAAATTTAGGAAGAACAGAAGGAAAGGCAGTGTGATGATTTTCCTTAGAGGGCCAGTCTTGCAGTCAGGCATGCCTGAGTGTAACATATTGTAGGCTTTATAAACATGGTCAGACTTTGTCGACATCGCAGTGCCCCAGGCAGCTCTGGAAGAGTCTAAGTTACAGGCGTGTTGCTGATCTGCATTAGTAGAGGGAGTTTGCACACTGGGAATTCTCGACAGTGATGCACTCATAGTTCCAACCCCCCCCCACCCAAATAAACAAAAAACGAGAAGTGGGATTAAACATAGGTTTGCAACTGTGGTCACAACTTAAGATTAAAAAAAAAAAATTCCCTGCGTTGCTGGCCCTCCAGGATTTTACATTGTACTTGGGGAGAAAGATGGCATTCCACAGTTTGCCCCGCTTGATGCACCAAGCGTGGGACGAGATAAGAATGGAGGTCCTGGCTGATAGTGGTGTGGTGATGGGGAATTCCTTGGCCTCCAGAGTCAGAGCTCTGTCTGAGTGTTGTACATCGCTGCCTCTGAGATCCATCCAAATGAAGGACCTTTCACTCAAATACAGAAGTGGTAGCAAATCTCTCAGCTATTTTGATGGCATCTGCTCTCTCTTAAAAATATACTTGTGGGAAAGTCAAGCCTTTCCCCATCCAGGGCAGCTTGTTTTACTTCTCATGGCTAAGTTGGCCATTTCTAAGGCTGGCCAAATTTGCCGTCGTGGTTGCATTTTAAGGTAATAGTTTTTGTTCTTATTGAAGTCCCTTGTACTGTGTAATGGATGTTTTCAGAGAAAGGCAGATTGTGAGTGGTGTTTTGCCAGAAATGTTGACCTTAACTGCAGAATCTTTCATTGCTGTATGATGCTGCACAAGATCTCTGATCCCTGAGCCCAGTTGTCCAGACCTTTCCATCATGGGGAATGTTGAAAGGGTTGACCGTTGGCTGTGGTTGAGCTTAATTAGCTTTGCTACATGTGTCTGTGGGCTCTTTGTCAATGACTAACTCTTCGTGTATTCTTTCCTTTCTCAGGAAGATGCAGAAAGGGCCAGGTATTCTCACCGGTCCAGTCACCATCGTCCCCACCTGGTTTGTAATAACGTCTAATTGTGTTCTCTCTTAGTCTTCAGATTTGCCTCTTTAATCCATTCACCGACAAATCACCATTTTCTTTTTATTGTCAGGGAGTTGAGGATGTACTGTCCACTCGAAGTATTGGCAGTCACAGGGTTAGTATTTGTACCATTTTTGTGGCGAGAGTGAAAACTTGTTGTGTGAGCTTTCAGAAGAGTCAGTGCCTGAAGGATCTCTGGTGTCATCAGTTTTCCATTTTTTCTGTTGTGGAGATACAATCAAAATGTCATTCAAACAGTGATTGAAAAAAAACAACAATGAAGTAAACTCATTTTAAATCAAACATTTCCATCTTCTGTAAGCATTTCTGTCTGCCCTGTGGTCTAATTCTTTCAGAGAAATTATGTCTGTTTTGGGAAAATTCATAAAGTGGTTGCAAATTGGTGTTATTTATCAGGCCTGTTGCCCTGATTGGAACTGAATGTCTGGGTTCCCCTCCCCCCCTTTTTTAATGAATTGATTGTTTTCAAAAATTGGAAAGATATTTGGAATTTAGGGGAAGCTATCCCTTTGTTACATGGAAAAACAGGACCTTAAATACACAGTATTTTTGTTTAGATAATGCTATTTCACAGCTATTAGATTACACGTCTGACTGGCATTGAAGTTGATTTGGTGACATGCTGATTAGTATTCTAGGGGATTCATTTGTTTTTAGAAGATCTTCCTGTTGACCCTAGGGAAAGTTGAAATCATTGGCCAAAGTGGAGGGGGCGAGGGCCATGTGGGCAGGCAAGAAGGCCTGCGTCACTTTCTCCATTGTCCCATTTCCTTGATTCTTTTAAAATATTGTTTTAGATTGCATGTTGTTGTTGTGTTTCTTTTGAAAAAACTTGACTGCGATTTAGATCTTCCGCCCTTGAAGATGGTCCGTTGTCACCGATTTCCTTACAGGCTGTTGTTCCGTTAGTTTTGGTATGTTTAGTTATTTCTGAGTCAGGAGGCACAGTGTGGTAAGTGCTGGAGAAGTCAGTTTTTTTTATTGCCTCTGAACAGAAGTCATTTTCCTTTTGAGCTGGATTGCGTGTTTGTGTATGTGCATGTGTGCACGTGTGTGCGTGCACACATGCACGAATGTGTCCCTGTGTGCGTACGTTGACCAGAAGGGGCACTTTGGGTCCAGGAAGCTAGTTACATGGCGGCGCTGATTTGATTTCTGGGTCTCAGGTTGATGTAAAGTGGGAATGGTAACCTTAGGAGGTTTTGGTAAACGTAAGTAAACCTGAAGCCTCTATAAATGCAAGCTATTTTCTTCTGTTCTTATTAGTGAGTCGCTTCAAGCAATATGCTTTGCTGGTTCCTTGTATTGTGGCCCCAGCAGTATTTGACTCTGTGTTAGCTTACTTTGTTGGTTAAAACAATCTTTGATTTGCCTTGTTTTACTTTTAAACATCCTGTAAGAACCATTGAGAGTCCGTGGGCAGACAGACGCTGCCTGGTGTGGCGGTGAGGTCATGAGGCCTCTTTGTGGCCGTGACTGTAACAGCTGAGGGTGTACTGAAGGCATCCCAGGAGTAAGCACAACATTCTCGACCTTTAGGTTGGTACTCAGGGGAATGGAGCGCCCCTGGCAGAGAAGAACGGGGCGTGCAAACTGCCAGCTGCTCCTTAAACATTTTTAAATAGCACCCAGCTTCTTTTAGTGACACACAAACACGGAACCTAACTGGGGGCTGAGTGTTCCTCCATGAATGCCCTGTGCTCTAGATGCCCTGATCTGGAAGCTCTCGACCTAAAGTGGTCTGGATATCACTTGGTCTGGAAGGAGGAGGCTCCTCTGGTAGGCTCCCTGTAGTGTGGGAACTCCATGGGGCGCAGCCCGTGGCCCACTTCTCTTGGGGCAGACTTGGTAGAAAGCTCCTGGGCAGTAAGGGGAAAACCACAGTGTTCTTGCCAGGTAGTTGTATTCTGGAGATTCTCCTGCTAGGCTGAAAAAGGAACAACCTTGTATGTGAGGCAGGGCCATTCCCAGGACAAGTCTGGGAGGCCCATCACTGTTCACTTGGTTTTCAGGGGGGCTTGCTCTTGGTTTTCGGAAATGTCTCTGTTCAGCTAGTCATTTTAAATCAGCCCCTATGTGAAGGGTGGCTGTGTTTTCATAAAATCTGCAGAAAGTTTGGCTGGCTACAAAAAATGGAAGGGGGAAGGGGAGAAAGGGAGAGGACCCTTCCAGCTTTCAGACATGCAGAACCTGTTGTCAGCCAGCCCAGAAAAGAAGCCTCCTGAGTGCATTCGTCATGGGTTCATGATTATTTGAAGCATGTTTAGACCAATGGCTGACTTAAGGAGACAATTCTGTGAGTGATCAGAGGCCCCCTTAGACTTCTGACATAAAGTAACCAGAATAGAAAATGAATCATGCCAGCACAGTTAGATTTTCATTGGGAACAGTTAGGCCTTTCACTGTTCATATACTTAGTGTCTGTGACCTCAGTGTAGGCCCTAGCTGAGAGCATGTGCTCCCTCTCCAGATATTCTGAGAGTCTGTCAACAAGCATTTATTTATGTATGTACTAGGCACTGTGAGCTCCAGTGACACATGGTGGACCTAGATGCTGTCCCTGCCCTCTGGGGACTCCCAGTCTAATGACTGCAGAGGGAAGGTGCTGGCAGCTTGGGGGCACCCTGAAATGCTTCCTGCAGAAGGGGAAGGAAGCCAGGGAAACTTCGGGAGGTGAGGGAGGAGAACGTTTCAGGCCCAGGGTGGTGTTGAGGGAGCAGCTGGTAGCTCAGTGAGTCGTAGCTTTACTAGAAAGTGTGCTGAGGGGAGTGAAGTGAGCAGCACTAGAGAACAGAGGACGTTCTATTTGATGGGGAAGGTGATGGAGCCATAGGAGCTCACTGAGCGAGGGAGGGATGCTTAAGAAGCATCTCGGCTTTGACAGCTGGGAGGGGGATGGCCTGGAGGCAGGGAGGCTGAGGAAGAGGCTATTGCCACGGTCCAGGTAGGTGGTGATGAGGGCCTGCCCCCTGGGGTTTGTTCTGTGAGGGCAGAGAGGGGGCATGGGCAAGAGGGCTGTGTGGGCCTAGAGGACTGGGAGGAGAATGGTGCCCATGACAGTGCTAAGAAGTTTGGAAGAGGGTGACAGAAGAGGGGAAAGATGATGGATGACCTCTAGGGTTTTAGAGATGTGGAGTTTAAGATGTCCAATAGGCAGTTGTAGATGGAGGCTAGAGGTCAGCAGAGAGCTTGGGATTGGACAGATAGAAATGCAGTGGAGTCCATGGGTGTCCATGGGCATTGAGGAGATGACCAGAGAGAAAGAAAGGAGAGTAGCCAGAGACAGTATGGGAGGACATCTCTGCTCCTGGCCCCGCCCGCCTCCTACCTCCTTACGTTGAAGGCGGGGTAGATCATATCCCCTCCAATAGAGGACAGGCCTGGGGCAGGTCAGGGGAGGGAACAACACAGCTCCATATCTCCTGCCAAGCACAGTGCCCTGTATACAGAAGGAGCTAATGAATGAGTTGACTTTGTCCATTCCCATGTTGGGTGACTCATTACTGTCTCTGATTTCATTTAAAAACTAAATTCTGGCTGTGTCTTAGACCCACGGAGGGCAGAGTGGGGCACTCTGGAAGGAGAAAGCTCCACCCCTGGGCTGTAAATTGCCTGAGACTGAGGGTCGAGGCTGAGCCCTTTGTAATAGAAAGCAGTGCTTTTCAAGTTGGGTTTCTGGGATGTCTTTTGGTCTCTTTCAGTATGATTAGGATACTTTACCTGATCTTTTTTCCTTACACTTGCTTTCTAAACCTCCAGCCTACTGGAGAGTCATTTTTTTTTTAAACAATTTTATTTATTATTTTTGGTGAAGCAATTGGGGGTTAAGTAACTTGCTCAGGATCACACAACTAGTGAGTTATGTGTCTGAGGTTGGATTTGAACTCAGGTCCTCCTGACTCCAGGGCCGATGCTCCACCTACTGTGACACCTAGCTGCCCCTGAGAGCCATTATTTTAAGGAAACACTCGTCATCATGGACAGTTTTCCGTATGTACTTTTCATGTTTATTTTTAGAAAAGCAAGATCACAGTCACACGCAATAGCACGTGCCCTGTAACATTGCCCATTGATTTCTGTGCGGTCACTCAAGACCACCTCAGCACCGCATTTGGTCGGCGTTACGAATCCTTGACCTGGGAAGGCATCATGAAAATCTTTAGTCCAGGTTTCCCTATATCACCACTGCCCCCATACAACCACCATCTCTTCTTTTTCACTTGAGGAAACTGAAGCACAGAGATGGGAAGGGTAGGCAGTTCCAAGATCTTGCACCCATCCGTAGCAGACCTGTGATTCCACATCAGGGCTGCTTTGTCTTTAATGTGTTTTGGCTTTTAAAATTGATCAATTTATGGTGCTAATGAAAGTGTTGGGTTTTTTCCTTCTCATTTCCTTCAAAATGTGACCAAATCCATCGCCACTGGAAACTCAGTATGATGCTCTGAAGGCTCGGTCTACGAAGCATTCATTTTCAGTATGTGGTCCATTTGCATGGTTCTCTGTTAACTCATTAATATAACTTTTTTAACTACTTGGCGTTACTAATCAGACAATTTGGTATTTAGGCATGCCATAATTTTAATTAAATGCTTGCTAGCCAAAAGAAAATAATACTTTTATATAATTTTGAAATAGTTAACCATTGAGGGGTGGGGGGAATTGCCTTTGGAAATTGCGAGAGTGTATCAAAGATAAACCCATTCCTCTAAGAATGAGGAGATTGCTGCTGACACTGTCTTTTCTTGAAATAGCAAGCTCCCGATGATGAATTTTCATAACTCTGTTAGCCTGATCAAGTTTGAAAGCCTGTAGAACAGAAGTGGGCCAGGTTCACAGGGGTGGCCTGCGATTTCCCTGAGCATGGTGTGTCTGTCACTGCCTCCCTCTCGGCAAGCCCCCAAAGGCCTCTTTCTCACGATTGGGTATTCTGCTTTGACCCGAGAGCCGAGGCAAGTGAGGGACTGAGTCTGTTTAGAGCTTGTCTTCGATTTCCAGCCTCTGTGCAGCCAGACACTTAGGACTTTCTAGAGGGAAGAGGACCTAGAATGATTTAAAAAAAAAAATCATCCATCAGTCTTCTAGTATTGAGAGTTTACTTTGGAATGCAGCTACCTGTGTACACGTCCCAGAGACCTGTCAGGTCATCATTGGATGAGGGTGAGCCTGACCTGGGTGTTACCAGCTCCCAGCCAAGTGCAGAGACAAGTCCTCCTAGAACCTAGAAAAAGGTGTCTCGATGTACCTAGAACCCCTTATGTCCAAGTCATTTCTCCTCTGAGGTACACGTACTTGTTGTCCTGTCAGACATTGTCATTCAGCTCTTTGTGGGGGCAGATGTTTTCCCCCTAAATAACTGACACTGAAGTATTCCACCATAGGTAGAGAGTACATGTGCATGCACATAATCACGTGTTCATGTGTATGCAAGCACACACATACACATACACACACACAGAGGTTTTTTTTTTTTAGCGGAGGCAATGAGCTCTACTTGGCTGATACCTGTTCCTTTGCTTGGGTGGCCACGTGGTGAGATAGCTGACCTGGGGTGTGGGCCACCCATGACTGTGGGCAGTGTTCTCTTTGTGCCATCCCTCCTCAGGCAGAGAGCTCTGGGTATCTTCAGCCTTCCCTTCAGATGCCCATGCTGACTGAACCCTCGATACCCTACAGGAGGAGATCTGAGCTCAAACTGGAGTAGTTCCAAAATCGAGCCAGATGGGTGCCAGCTCTCAGGCCAGACTTTTGGTATCCAGTGACTCAGTGGATAATCCCCTCCCTTGATTTATTGACAGTTGGCTGCATAGAGGCTATCTCAAACTCACTCTTTGTCTTGGATTCTCGTTAGCGTGTTAAATATGGATTTTAGTTGACTTTGACTTTGGTGGTTGGTCTGAAAAACATCCTGATACTTCTTTAATGAACATATTTGCTTCCAGAGCCATGCTTATGCTGACTCTTCCAGCACAAAGAGGAGGTCTTCTAGTTCCTACAAAGACCCCTTGGTTAGTAGTGTTGTGTGTCTCTGGTAGGCACTGCATGCGTGTGCGCTGTGCTAAGTCGTTGTCTCCCCCAGAATGTGATTGCTTCACTTTGGCTGATGTAGCAAGTAGGCGTCCTTAAAGCCCCTCACAACCCTTGGTCACACTGGGATTCCCGTTAAAGAGGTTTCATTTAGTGTTATACGTACTACCAGGACTTCACAAAGTTATTCACAGCACAGCGACTGTTCCATCCTGTGGATTCCAAGGTTATCATCAAGGAAGTGCCCGCTTCCTTCTTTTAGAAAGTATGTATCTGAAGTAATTTTTATGTTACTGGCTGTACCCAGTGATGGCGAGATTGTGATCCTGCAGTTCTTTGGTAAGTTGGAAAGCATTTTCTCATAGAAACAGTGTATTCTATGTGGTGGTCAGGTGACCGGGCTGCTCAGCAAAGAGACCTTGAGTCCCTGGTGTCGCCTGGCCACAGCACTATTCATAATTCCTAAGAGTCCTTCACCACAGCTGCTTTCTGTGGGAGAATGTGTCCAGGTCAGCAATGATCAATGCCAAGAACATCTCTGACCCGGGAGCCTGAGGGGGCCATCGCCCACCCCCTGGCCACTGGTAGTAATACCCAAGGCTGGGCTGGGCTGGGCCGGGCCGGGCCGGCATGGAGAGAATGGGTTCTGTCGGTGGTGCGGAGCTGATACCTGAAAGGCGGGAGTGTCTCCAATGGGTAGGGCCGGGCGCTTGCCTAGGGGTGTCGAGGCAGACCTAGGGGGCAGAGGAAGGGAGATGCAAGGAGGAAAAGCATGTTGTGAGGTGGGAGAAGCTGTTCCTGTGCTTGTCAGACACAGCTGGGCAGCTGTTTGTGTACGAGGCCGATTCTGAAATGACCCCTTGGAGCCTAGCCGCTGCCTAGGTTTGCTGTGCCTTATCAAGAACTTGAGATAGGCAGTTATAGACCTAGGTGAGGTTCCTTAAACACAAATGAGATGCACAATTACTTGTCTTTTGTTACATCGAAAGATCTTCTGTTACTGAAGATCGGGACAAGGGTTTACCTGAGTTTCACTTCTTCCCCTGATTATTCTTTGTATGACTCCCTGGGCCTTGATTTCTTCATCTGTAGTATGGGACCACAGGACTGGAGTTGGGAGGCCTCAGAAGAGAATGAATTTCCAATCTTTTCAGTGCTTTTGCCAAATGGGTTTGGAAAAAAAGCCATTATTTACTTGAGTGAAATTTGCACAGACCCTCATCAGTCTGGCGTGAAAGTTAATGACTTATTTTCCTTCCTTCTGGCTGAGGATTGTTTTCTGTAAAGAAGGAAGTACTGGTAAGAATGTAGTTTGGAAACAGTTTAATGTCAGCCTTTTTAGGGAGAGACAGCCTGCTAATGATGTTCCTCTGACTTTTCTGTTTAAGTGTGTGCTAGCACTTTGGGCTGTGGGTTTTGGGGACCACAGCCTTGGTAATAGCAAGATAAACTCTTTTGTGCTTCACGAAACCCTTCCTTTCTCTCTCTTCCCCATTCCTGTCAAAGGCAATACGCCCCTCCTCCCAGTCCCTCGGGCTCCCAGCCTGGGAGTCATCCACCCCTCACTCTCAGACCCCCTGTTGATTTCACCTCTGCAGCATCTCTGAGTTACACCCCCTTCTCTCTGACACTGTCACCCCCTGGTCCAAGGCCTCATCATCTCACATCTGGGCTATTGCAGCAGCTGCGTGGGGGGTTTGCCTGACTTGAGTCCACTCCAGTCCATCTTCTACTACAGTGATTTCCCTGCATTGCAGGCCCACCCACATCAAGCCCTATTACCTCCAGGAGCAAATGTTTGGTATTCAAAGCCCTTCTTAACCTGCCCTTTCCTACCTTTTCAGTCTTCTTTCACATTCCTCCTCAGCACATACTCTTCCATGCACTGACACCAGCCTCCTGGCTATTCCACTCTCCTGGCTCCAGGCCTTTTCTCGGGCTGTCTGCCTTGCCTGGGATGCTGTCCTGAATCCGCTCCAACCACTGACCTCCTTGGCTTCCTTTAAGCCCCAACTCCAGCTTCCTCTTCTGCAGGAAGCCCGCTCCAACCTCTTCTTTGTGGATGACTTCCCATTTATCCTGTTTGTCGCTTGCTCTGTAGGTGTTTGTTTGCATGTTAGGGCAGGGACTGTCTTTGGCACCGCAGTGCTTGGCCCATAGTAGGCCCTTAACAAATATTTATTGTGTATTGTTCGTTTTGTTTCATTCCCATTGCTAGAGTGGAGTCAACGTTAAGCCCTGCTCTTCCATTTTGCTTCTTGCAGAAAGGCCTCTACTACGACCAGAGGAACTATAGCAGCCTCAGACACAGCAAGCCCCCCTCCACCTACTACACTCGGGTCTGTTGCTATCTTGCTTCTTCTCGTTTAAGGATCTTTTATCCTTTTAGGTTGGAACCAATCTGTGTGAGGTGATAATGGGTGGACATTGTGTTTTGGTGCCTTTTCTTGTTCATATTTTCTGGGTGGATGTTGACTGTGCCCTGTGGTGGCACACGTGACAGGCAGCTCACGCTTGTAGAGGAGAGTCCTGCTTTAATTAACCTGATCAACGATGGAGTAGGGAGAGGGCTGTTATTTTTGCCCTATCCCATGATACTCTAGTCTTGACTCATTTTCTGTTATTTTCATCTATTGACACCAGGATTAAGTGTTCATTAAAGTATAAAAATATTTCTAATACTTAATAAATACATTTCATCTCAAGCTTTCAATCATAGCCTGGAGAAGTATTGCTAATGACTTTGTTTTATGCTTTTGGGTAATTATGTCCAAAATTGATCATGAATTGTGAAGTAACAAGTTGTTAGTTTAATTCTTATCTTGCTACATGATAACAGACTTTTTTGTTTTTCGTTTTAAAACAGTCTTCTTCCTTGTGCAGTGACCCTCTGGCAACTTCTAAAACTCACAGGGTTAGTACTGCATGAGATCTGAGTCGTCTTTTGAACTCCTGCTTGCTTTTTTTCAGATTGGAAAAATCCCTTTTCTTGTAGGTTTCTCGTGCTGTAGACACTGGTCTGATGAGAAGTGCCAGTTTGGTTCGTATGTGCCCCACCCCCACCCCCCGATTGTGCATGACGGCGGGCTGCTAACGGTGTGACTTGGCAGCATAAGTGTGGATAAAGCAAGGCCTGCTAGGTCAGCTGTCATAAACTGTAAAATAATTGTGCCATCTGTCGTCTCAGAAGATGGTGCTCCTGGCCCATCATTTAGAGTCCTGATGCCTAGACTGTGTAGTCACGTGGGGGTCAGTGCACAGTTCTGCTCTCTAGTCCCCTGATGGCAAATAACATGCTTAGGAGGCGACTGGTTGGGCCAGCGCTGATGTTCTTGGCTTTAGACCAGAGAGGAGAGGGAATTGACCCACGTGGTCACATCTGCACCTCACTGGGGCCTGAAATGAGGGCAGACGCAGCAGGTTCTCTCCCAGCAGCCTTGGCTTTGGGTGGCATGGCCTCATGGCTGACAGTGAAGACTTGGAATCTGGAGCTTGCAGTTGGCTGAGGCTTTTTTCCTTTTTCTGTATCTGCTCCTCCGTGACTTGTCTCATCAAACAGATTGATCCTTGCCCATGTGTAGACCACAGAAAAAATAAGCTATTAGTACTTGATGGTCATTGCTCATTTTTTACCAATAATGAGAACACCAGATTTGGATCTGAATCGCTTTTGGCTGGTCACAAAAATCAGATTGCTCTTCCAAGGAGTCGGGTTTGACTGGCATCCCTGTCCTGGCCCTGGTGCTTGTGACTTCGTGAGCCTCACTTCTCACGTCTGGGAAATCTGGACGATAATACTTGTACTCCCTCACAGAGTTTTTAGGAGAAAACTGTTGATCCCAGTGGAGTTGATGTAAGATGCCAATGTCATCGAGGAAAGGCTCTGAAGACACTTCCTTCATTAAGATTTGCCCAAATCCACTTCTCCTCCTTGTTTGATCCTGTATGGGAGGGCAGGTGCTAGAGTTATTCTTCCTATTGTGCAGAATAACCATTGAGCGTTCGTGAAACTCTTGGAGGGAGAAGCCTGTGTTGGGCAGTGAGGCCCAAGATGGGAAGCTGGAGACAGCCCCTGCCTTCACGCGGCTGACCTTTCTTTTGTAGTCACCACGTACACAAAGAAATGCATAGGAAATGCCAGCAGAGAGTCCGGGGTGCCCAGCAGCGAGGGGACTTGCCCAGGTCACGTGGCCAGTTTTGTCTGCAGTGGGACTTGAAGCCAGGTCTTTCTGGCTTCAGGGCAGGCGCTCTCTCTTCTGTAGCCCAGGGTCACTCATACTGTGACCAGGACTCTGGATTCTGTTACTAGACTTCATTCCCCAACACCTCTCAAACCATTGTTAATACTGTAAGGGCATATTAAAGGCCTGACCCTAATTTCTCAGGACTCTCTTGTGCAAGAAGAGAACAGATCAGATCGGTGTTTAGGGGCTAGGTGGAAGAGTGCCCAGGTCCTGTAAGGGAAGGGTAGGGGTGGAAGACATCGAGGTGTTCCTTAGCACTTCCAGACTGGTTTGACATTGAGTGGACAGCTGCTGTGCGTTTCAGCCTTTTGCAGTCCCTCAGACACCGAAGAGACACGTCCTCTTTCCTTTGTTCTCTAGGCGTCTCTGGGTGATGTGGGATTATACAGCCCGTACAGTTCTCGAACAGTGAGTCTTCACCAGGGGAATGGGGAGTTTGAGGATGGTGGTGTGTATGTGTGTGTGTGTGTGTGCGCGCGCACGCGTGCATGTTTGTGCTCGAGGTGGGAGATACACTTTACTGATGGAAAAGTGCCATTTTTCAGGTACCCCTATGATCTTCTCATCCCCTGGGACCATTCACCAGCCCTGTACATGAGGTAGACAGACAGACAACAAATTATGGCCTCTGTTCAGGTCATTTTCACAGAGTGGCTAAAACTTTGTTTAATCCTATTTTGGTGATGCTTCAGTCAAGTCAGCAAACATTTATTAAGCACCTGCTGTGTGCCATCAAGAACAAAAGGCTGCCCGATCCTGCAGTAGGATAAGCAGATGGATTGTCCTCCTCCTTTCCCTTTAGCCCCATAGAGTGAGGATACTTTGCCCAAAAGCACTTCTGGGTAACCCTCTGCCTTTGCTAGATCCTCTGGGTGGCAAGGACGCATTCTGTACCTGATTCCCTAGGGAGCAACACCCCACCAGCCCTTGGGCCTGCCTTAGATCCCTTAGGAATCAATGACAAATTTCAAGACCCATGTAGTGATGAGAGTGTCAGAGGAGCTGAACACTGTTTTAAAAGCTTTCTTCTTGCAAATTTTGTAGCCATCAGAATACAGTTACTCATCGAGAGCAAGTTCATCCCGGAGCAGCCCTGTGGTGAGAACTCTTGCTGCCTGTTGGCTCTGTGCAGCGTGAACACCTTGTGGCTTATCCCCCTGGGAAGCATTTCTAACATTCAGAGTGCAGAACATTAGGTGTTTGTATGCATGGAGTGGCAGTTTCACACAAGTAAAACTAAGCATGCTAACCCGAGAATTAATTGGTCTTCAGGAAGCCACTTCTTAAAATTGTGTCTTCTACTTCTCTAGGCTTGGAGAACGTAATCTTAGAGGTTTCTGACTTAGCTCTAGAACCTGTGCATGTGAAGGAGGCAGTGTGAGGCAGTGGGAAGAGCCCTGCCTGGCTTTGGAGCCAGAAGACACCACCTGCTACCCATGTGACCTTGGGCAAATCACTTAGCCTCTCTAGACCTCAGTTTGTTCATCTGAAAAATGAGAGGGTTGGGTTATGGCTCCCAGAGTTCCCTTCTAGCTGTGGATTGATGATCTTTTGAGGCTATTTCATTTTTCATGGATTAATGGATGATCTTTGGGTTTGTAGAGGACCTGAAATGCTTTTCATCTCACTCAGGTAGGTGAAAACATAGGCTTGTTAGCATCAGCACTGTAGCATAGGAAAAAAATTACTTTGCAGAGCGAGTCCAGGTAGGCTTTCCTTCTTCTTTCACTATGGCCAGATGCCTTTCCTGGGTTAAGCAAGGAATTAGTAGTGGAATGAGAATCAACATAGGAATTTTAAAAGAATTTTTGCACATAGGGAAAGATTTCTTTTCACTCACGTGGAATAAATCTGCTTGTTTTTTGGGAAATTTAAGTATAATGGTTGATACCTTTAGTCCGTTCATTTTAAAATGTGACATATCTCTTATCTGTCCATCCGTCTGTCCATCCATCCGTCTGTTCATCTACCTGCCCGCCCATCCATCCATCCATCCATCAGCAGAATTTTGCGTTTTGTGGCTGGCCTATTGTACTTCATCTTGGAGTGGAGTTACCTCACTTTGTTACATGAGGTCTATTCCCTGGAGACAAACTGAAGAGGTTGTGATGACCATTTGGATGTGTGATAGACATATATTGATATATACATATATTTGCCAATGGTGTTTCAGTATGAGATTATTTTTATTTACTTATTTATTTGGCAGAAGTATTTTTGTTTTATTTTGTGCAGTATTATACGTAATTATTCTGTGTGCCACGTATAACTGTCATAGTTGATGAAACAATTAGACTCGAGGGTAGAAAAGTATTCTGCATATACACGACAGCATTCCTGTTACCAGTGTCTACGTTTCAGCTTGACAGCAGAGGTTCTTAAACTTTCTTGTGCTGTGGACTGCTGTGGCACTCTGGTAACATCTATGGATCCCTTATAGAATGTTTGTTGCCTACATTCAAAATGGAAGGAAATGCTCAATTTCAGCTAGAGGTTCAGGAGAACGAAGATGAATTCCCCCCCCACCCCAGGTTAATGGACCCTCTGAAATCTACCCACAGACCACAGTGGGGTTCATGGAGCCGGGTGAAGAGCCTTTGATCTGATCACCCCTTAGTAGGCGGCCCCCGGCGTCTCGTCATATCGTCAGACTTAGAGTGGACGTACACTCGGTTTTATCCCTTCTGAAGCTGAGCGTTCCTGACCTCAAGTCATCTATTCTAAGGATTATAGGCCTGGGTCACCACACCTAGCCTTCTCCCTTTTTTAAATTAGAAAAAAGAAAGACAAAATGTTTGTTTTTGTTTCTGGTGCCTCTCTCAGGGCATGCTCATTTCATTTCGAAATGAATCTCCCCAACTCCGACTCTTCCCCCAATTCATGCCCCAGAGCATGTTGTGTGAGTGCTTGCTTAAGAGGAGTGATGTATTGGGAGCACCAGCGACTGCCCACGGCCCAGTGAACTTTTTAATGATCCATCTCCTTTTACCACGAACAGTTTTCAGATGATGACGCCGGGAGTCTCGCATCTTCAGGTCATGCCAGCCAAGGGCGAAGAGCTAGTGTGGTGAGCCTGGTTTGCATGCTGGCAGAAAACCCCATGGGCAGCAGCTTTTCACACTCATTGGGTTTTTATTTTTATTTCTAATTGCCACAGTATGGTATTTCAGGATCACGTTGGATTTATTGCAAGTTAACCAACATTGTGGGATGGCCAGAAAGCCAAGGTTAGCTTGTGTCTGTAATGTGGCTTCGGACGCAGATCATGGAGAGGAGGCCTTTGGCCTTCCCAGTTGTGATACTTAGACTTCACAAGCTTTGGTCTGTAGTTTGGCCTCTTGTCCTTTTTTGGAGTTTGAAGCTATGAACCAAGGTCTTTGAGCTTTTCGTTACTTTTTGTTGTGTCATGCATGTGCAATATGCTGTTTATTAACCTCAAAGAACTGCCTTGCATCGTGGTCAAAAATACAATGTGCAAAAGTCAAGGAGGCCCTCATGGCAAACTGGACATTCCTGGCATGATAGACACGAGTCACAGTTTACAAACCTACTGCTTTTAAAAATGTTTTGTGTTTGTTTCTGTTGCCAAGTGTGAAAAGTTACTAGTAAAAAAAAAAGGGGGGAGTGAGATGTGCATCCTTCTGGCCTTTGTGCTGCTGTAAGAACTGAGCTTATAGAGAAAGCAGAAGGAAAACCCAGGTGGGGACTTCAGGGAATAATTAAGTGCCAGTGTCCTCCATGGGCTTCTCGGTGGAGACGGAAATGAGACACAAAGATGCCAACTTGGCAGAGAATGTGTTTAGGGAATGCAGATCTCCATTGTACAGGTCCTGTTTACCCAGCCAATCTCCCTGAGGGAGTCTTTTCCCACAGAAAGGAATGGGGTCTTTTTATCGGTTCAAATCTTAACTTCTATAGGAGGACTTTCCTGGTCCCCTCAGCTGCTTGGCCCTTTCCCTCCGAGATCACCTTCCACCTGCTCCGGCTCCGTGTCTTATGTGTATCTATTTACCATTAGAATGTGAACCCCCTTGAGGACAAGGGCTGGTTTTAACTTTTCTATATTGGCCAGGGCTTAGCATATTGCTTAGTAACTTGGTAAACTTAGGGCCTAGTAAGTGTCTCTTGATGAACTGGTTGGTACTGGAAGGCTACGGTGGCCAAAGCTGGCAGACGCTTTGGGAGTGAGTTGTTAGGGTGTGTGTGTCTCCCCCTCATTGGACTCAGTGGAACACAATCAGCAACAACTTTTGGTCTTTGATTTCACTTCTCTTTTCACCTTCCCTCTGAGTGTTCTGTTCTGCCCCAGTCCTGCCTCCTCTCTTTACCAGTTGTGAAATGACCTGATTTTTCTGATGTTGAAGGTGTCCGCCGCTGATTACTTTAGTCGTTCCAGTCGGAGGGGAAGTGTTGTCTCTGATGTGGACGATGTCGTTATCCCGGATTTGAGCAGCGTGAGTGCATTGCATGGGCCAGTCACGTGGACGTGGCAGGGCCTCTTACTCGTCTGCAGTGGACATTTCCAGACTAACAAAGTGAAGCGTGCCTCCTTAGAGGATCTATTTTTCAAATCAGAAACACAACTGTCTTGAAATAAGCTTAGCGAGTAGAAAGCCGTCGTCTGCACGTCCGGTGGGTTCTCATCACCACCTTTCACTTGCTGGTTCTGGGAATGTGTGACCTGTAACCATCCTTGTGCTTGAATCTGACTTCACTAAGCCCACTTTCATTTTGTAGAACTTGTGTTTGTTTTACTAAAACAGTCTGTGTGAAATGCAAAGTCTTAATTGCCAAGGCTTTTTTACTCTTTGACTTGTTTAACCACAGAATTGAATCCTTGTTGAGCCCAGCAGGGCTTTCCCAGTTCACAGGAATGCCAGATCGGTTAGTGAAGAGTCTGAGTCAAAGAGGAATCCCAGGCAGAGCTAGGCCAGTGATCCTCATGGCCTCAGCGGGTCCTGGAGAGCCTGCTGGCCTTGGAGTTGTAGCAGCTGGGTTCAAGCCCTTTACCCTCCCCTGGCTGTGTGACCCTGAGCAAGTCACCTACCTGTGCAGTGCCCCCAGGCAACAATTGCATAGCTTATACCTGCAGATCATTTGGCAAAGCTTATCTTGTTTTTTATCTTGACCACCTCCATGGGATATAGGTGTTGTTTTTAACCCCATTTTACAGATGAGGAAACCGAGGCAGACAGATTAAGTGACTTGCTCAGGATTCCACAGCTGGAAAGTGGCTGAGGCTAGATCTGAGCTCAGACATTCTTGACTCCAAGTCCAGTGCTCTATCTACTGCACCCCCTCCTCACATCAGAAGGGTAGAGATTTTTCTGTTAGCTGGCTTGATTCTTGTCATATCTTAGCTGCCTGCCCACTCTTAGAGTAGTACACACTTCCTACGCTGTTTTCCTGTGTTCCGGCAAGTCACTGCAATAGTTCAGGTATGTCTCTGGTGGGGACTGGAGTGCAAAATTAAGTTACTGATGTTGGGACCCAGTGAAACACAGTGGAGCCACCCAGAGTGTGGACAGTCCAGCTCGAGGGCCGATCTCCTCATGTGTGCTCCACCCAGTCAAGTCTTGATGTTGGCAGGACTCAATGAACCTGTAGCCAGAAGCAGTCCAGTTTCCTGGTGCTTCGGGCTCATAGTTAAGAGCATGTTTGTCGTGGTACTCACAGAGATGCACGGCAGGATGACCTCCACGGGCACCCTAGCTCTGCTGTCCCAGAGGCTCCTAGTGCCGTGTCTCCTGCCCTTCTGTTACCTTGTGTTAACTTTGTATGTATTTGTTGTGTGCCCTCTACCAGAGTGTAAGCTCCTTGAGGTCAAGGGCGGTTTCCTTTTTGTCTTTGTGTTTCCAGAGACCTGCCCAGGGACTTAGGATGTGATAGATGCTCAGTAAATGCTTACCTCCCTGGAACCATGCAACCTCCTCTGTGGTCCTGACGGTCCTGGGGCAGCTGGCAGAGAGCCCCGGCTGCTTGATGGGATGCCAGGATGAGAGCAGCTTCTGCTGGCTTAGCTTTTCTTGACAGAAAGGCCATAGGCATGGCAGCGCTGGTGCCCCTGGTGGGAGCCACGTCACTGCAGTCCCAGTAACTGGACTGCGGCATGGCAGATGGGGGCGTTTCTTCTGCCTTTCCTCCCTCCACTGCCGCAGGCTCTGCTGAGTGTCCAGTGGCCAGAGCCAGCATCAGGGAGAAGGCAGCAGAAACGCTCCAGTGACGTCCCAGCAAGGCCACCTCAAAAGTGGAAGGGCTCCGAGTCCCCAGGTTAGCTGATGCTCAGCTCACTGTTGACGTAAGTGGGTTCAGGGTCTGCTTTGGGTGATTTCTCTTTTCTGGGGGTTAGGCTAGGGAAGGAGTTTGTGTTGATTTGGAAAAAATGCTTTAAACTTCTGAGTGCACAGAACAAAAGTTGAAAAGTGTTCCTTTGAAAGAGAGTTTAGTGAAAGGCAAGGGCTTCTTATCATGGAAAATAATTTATCCAGTCCTAAAATCGTGGGTGGTCCTGTGGCCAGCTCCGGACAGATAGCTCCAGAGGCCAGGTTACCAAAGTGCCTGGAGGGAGGTGCAGCACCACCATTGACCTCCAAAACGTGATGGGTGACACATGGACATTTGGAGAATCAAAGTGAACTCAAATGAATGTTTTTAAGGCCTTTATAATAATTAGAGACACCCATATTGTAGCAAAATCAGAGGGCTTAGAGGCTGAGGTGGCATTAGGATTGCCACCTCAGTTGGCAGGTCAGTTGGAAGTCATTCCCATGGAGACATAATGAATGTGGTAAATAGAGAAATGGACGTATTTCATTATACAAATTAGAGGGATTTTACTTGGAGCCAATATCTTGGTATGTAAACATTTTTACTCATTTTTGTCTCTCTTTAGTCTGCTCTTTAAGTACTGAAATGTTGAAAGTTCAGGTCTAGGGAGAATCCAGGCTGTTGGTTGTTTCTTCAGTGCCTCGGGGGCCAGTCGTCCCGCCTCTCCCTCCTGGGCTGGCCCATCAGTCCTCTGGGGGCAGTTCGGCTGTTTTCATTTGGTTAAGTCTCTCTGTGACCCCTGCACGAGGCTCTGGCTACTTGGGGCTTCTTCATGCCAGTTTGTCTTTGGCTGGTGGTGCCTGCTGTTTACGGTGTCATCTAGTATTTGCTCAGGAAGAATGTTTTTCCACTTCAGAGTAAAGTCAGATTTCTCAGAGTTGGCATCACTAATGCTGGTTTTCTGTCTTAACGCTATATAGAGTTAACAAATCCATGCGGCCTTTGGGCTGAGCTGTGGCTAATCACTCCTGTTTTCTGTCATGACTTCGTTGGTTCTCAGGAAGTTCAGGATGCCAAGAATTCATTTTCTCCTTTCATTTAATTGGATTCACTTAATTGGAATTTGATTCATTTATCTTACAGGGTTTTGAAACTTCATTTTGGGTTTATGTGTTTGTTTTAGGAGAGAGTGGGGAGCACTGCAGATGAGATGTAACTTCTTTTAAAATCAACATGATGTGAATCTTACCTGATTTTTACCTTCGTTTTTCTTTTCCAGTTGGATGAAAAGTGCGACAAGCAGTATGCTGAAACTTATACCAGGGTGAGTGTATTAACTGACTTGAAGAAGTTCTTAAAATGAATCGAACGTGTTTCCTCCTGCCCTGACTCCCCCGTGGTTCCTCACTGTTGCCCCTCTTGTGGTAAAGAGCTGCCCCTCTGCCTTCGTCGGATCTCTGCCGAAGAGTTCCTTTCAAACCTGAATCATGAGAAGGAGGGAGTTTTATTGTTGTTGCTGCTGATGAATTCTCTCCCTTTGACTTTTTGATTTGCCATCGGCGTTTAGAGCTGACAGAGACCTGAGAGGCCAGCCCTTCGTTCTGGTGATGAGGAATCTGGGACCAGAGAGATGGGGCTCAAGGTCACCCAGGCAGGAAGGGGCGTAGCCAAAGCCTGGACCCTTCATTGATCTGTCACTGTTCTGTTCCTTTGGAAATGGACATTTCATGACGAACATTAAACAGAACCCATGAGAAGTGGGGGTCCCCTGAAGGCCTGAACAGGTTCCTGCACATTGAGTGCATTTCTTCAGAGAAAGGAATTACTCTTAAAATAGTTTTGTACAATCCCTTTGTAGTGTTTTCTGAGAAAGACTGGCCCATTATCTGAGGGAGGCTTGGATTCATCAGTCCAGAAAGGTGGACTTCTGGGCAGTTTCGGGGAAAGGCATTGCCACAGCCACTGAGGAATATGGGGGAAAGAGAGGGGTTGGTTTGCCACTACTGCTGTGGATGCCCCAATAAGCCATTGGATTTTATGCTACCCTTGGAACAGGGGAGGTGGAGATCTTGCCTACTGGAGAGCGAGAATGGAGGAGGGAGTGTTGGGGGATAAAGATGGCTGTGTGTTGGAGACACACCTTTCTGGGCCTCAGTTTTCTCATCTTTAAAATGACAAGGTTGGATTAAATGACCTTTGCAGTTTCCTCCAGCTCTAAATCTCTGATCTTGTGGTCCCTCGAACCTCATTTTGTTATGTGCGATGTGGTACAGGAAGGTCTTTTTTAAAAGCAGTCTGCATTATCATCATTACAAATATTAGCCCATGACCACTCTTCCTTCCCTGGTACAGACACCACGGTGACTTCCCATTCCCATAGAACACCAGGAGTCCTGGGGACCTTCTCTCTTCCTCCCACCCCCCTCTGTTGTCCCCCGAGCCATCCTGCAAGAGCACAGGTGTGACCTCTCATGTGCTCTTCCTCCTAGCCCTCTTCTCGAAATTCTGCCTCAGCAACAACACCCCTGAGTGGGAGTGCCTCCTGTCGAGGAAGCGGAGACACAGGCAGCTTCGTGGATCCTGACGCTTCCTTAAGTGAATTACGGGTAAGGGCGCGAACGGAACACGTGTGTTCTTCTTTAAAGAACTCTGGCCCTGCTGGCGGGTATTTTTAGGGCCTACTCAGAGAGGCGGTAGAGATGCTCTCTTTTGTAACTATGGTCGTTCTGGAACTACGGTCCTGCTCAGGCACTTCAGAGCAGTGAAAATTGGGTCTCTCCCGCTGTTCCACTGGGCCCTGGGCGTTCGCTGTGCCATCTGACCTTCCAGTCTGGCCTACCATTTCCCAGAAGCCCAGAGCAGCAGGGCAGATATTACCCTTGTTTCCTCCAAAATAAGTCCCTTCAGTTACCAACAATGTCTGAGGGGCAAGAACCCAACTCGGTGTGTTGAATCCCTAAACCTGGATCCTTTCTCAAAATCGTAGTTTTAAATGCATAAAATAAGATACATAGGATTTCAAAGGAACTGATTATATTGAAATACAATTATCAAAATATTTTTTCAAAAATTCACAGATTCCACCTTAAGCATCCCTGAACTAAGCTATCCTTCTGTCACATCAGCCTGTGATTTCCATGATCACTGGGCACAAGAGCGTGTTGTATGGCTGGATCATTAGTTTTGGCTCCCTGGTTAAGTCTTTCATCTGAGCCGTTAGCCAGGAGTGAAGGAGGTGACAGTCTTTGTCTTGTAACCCTCCTGAGAGGGAAGAGAAGCAGAAGTCATCAGCCCACTGAGGCTCAGGTTGGCCACTGTGGTCATCCTGGATGAGCTTCTGCCTCCATGGAGGACCGACCATCCTCAGCTTTGGCCTGACGGTCAGTCCTCCAGCATCACCTCCCCTGCCCTCAGTGACCAGGTGTCACGGAGAAGTCTGCTCACTTAGATCTGCGTGCTCATTGTTTTAGAATTTACCTCAATCTGTGTCCAAATGGCAGTTTCCACAAGTCCTAAGGGGAAGAGTTATGCTGTAGACAGGCAGTTTTTAAATGAAGTAGTTTTACCTCAGATCTGTTGGCAGCCAGATACAGGGGGGGGTCACTGTGTCTTGAGTGATCATTCGGTTGGTTGTGGGATCCTTGTGCCTCACGGGCACTAGAAGGAAGTTGTGGCATCTGCCATGAAGCCACCAAGGCCGCAAGGGTGGGCTTGGCACCTGCCTGTGAGTGAGGCGTGGCCACCTGGGCATGGCTTAGCCATGCCAACTTGGGAGAGCACCTCTTAAGGCCCAGCAGGGGGAGGGACGAGTCACTGGCTCTCAAGTTGTGGGGAAAAGCATGGAACAAGTGATGCGATTTTCAGCCCCAGCTTAGCGGTGAAGAGGGTCACGTGGACTGACCCAAAGGCCTTCAACCTGCTCTCCCTCCTGCTTGCCCTCCAGCCCTTTCTGGTCATCTTGAGTAAGAGTTGTGCTTGGCTTGCTTTCATTTGTCTGATATCAGTCTGAAATGGGCAAAACTTAATTCTCATTTCCTTTGGAAATTGTTGAGCTGTAAATCATTTTTCTGCATGATTCTCTGCAACGGTTTCTTCTCATGTCCTGCAGGATATCTATGATCTTAAGGACCAGATACAAGATGTAGAAGGGAGATACATGCAAGGGCTTAAGGAGCTCAAGGTACCAGGGTTCCAGCATTCCCGAGCATGCTTTCTGTACGAAGTCCCAGTGTCCGCAGAGGCTTCTGACCTCACTGCACAGAGCTTTACTAACAGTGTTTGTCTCTGAAGCATGTGCTTAACCTGCCCCCTCCCTCCCTTCCCTGAAGGGTCACCCTGGGGTCAGGGGTGATGTCGTTGTCCTCAGGTTCTAGGCTGCTGACCTTGCGGGATCCCTGGGCTGTCACTTACTTCACCTGTGCATAGGAATGTGGTGTTTTCATTGAGACTCAGTCTTTGAAGAAAGAACTGTGATAGCAATGGTTAGGGGGCTCCCTCTGCCTTGATAGAGTCATGACAGGGCGGGAACAGCACTCTTACAGGGTAGATATGAAAATAGACGTCATATAATCCTAGCTGCTTTTAGTAGAGTTAGTATTCTAGTACCGCTAGTACTGGACGAGTCTGCAGAGAGAGCTCCAAACCCCTCAGTTTCCAGGTACAGAAATAGGCTCAGAGAGGTGAAATAATTTGTCCGAGGTCAGACATCTATTAAGCACCTGCCATGTGCCAGGCACTGTGCTAAGCTGTGGGGATAAGAAGAAAGGCAAAAGCCTGTGCCTGCCCTCCAGGAGCTCCCAGTCTGATGGGGGAGGCACCATCCAAACAACCCTGAGCAAACCAGCTCTGTGCAGGGTCAGTTCACCAGCCATAAGGGGAATAGAAGGTGGGATTTTATCTGGGACTTGGAGGAAGCCAGGAGGGAGAACATTCCAGGCACAGGAGACTACCAGTGAAAATGCCCCAGATCAGGAAATTCAGTGCATGGGGCCTGTGGGACCCCCAGGCTTGGGACGTGACATGAATGAAGGTCCAGCAAAGGTGACTGAGGAAGATCACAAAAGGCCAGAGCAAAGAGAGTCGAGGAGGAGGAGGAGGAGACCAGCGGTGTCAGAGGCTGAGGAGGGTTTGGTAATTGTTACTTTGGGAAGAGCAGTTTTGGTGAAATGGTGAGGTCAGAAACCAGACAGTTAAGAAGGGAGTGAGAGGACGGAAAGTGGATGCCCCTGTTGTAGGCTGTCTTTTCAAGGCATTCAGCCCCGAAAGGGCGGAGAACTGTGGGCTGATAGCTAGTGGGGATGGATGGGTCAAGGGAGCGTATTTTTGAGGATGGGCCTGATTGTATGGAGTGAGTGGGAATGATAGAGGAGGCAGTGTGCTGGAGAGGACAGGATGGCATGGGATCACTTGTGCCTGGAGAGGGGTTGGCCTTGACCAAGAGAGGGGCCCCCTCTAGATGAGAGAGTGGAGTGAGACAAGAGAGTGGCAGAAGGCACTGGGGTGATGGGAGAGGAGGAGGGGGAGGAGGGGAAAAGAGGGAACTTATACAGGTAGCACGGAGCAGGTCTTCTGACTAGAAATCTAGTTTTTGACTCTACGTATTATCTAGATTAGCCTTTGTGTCTACTTACCAGGAATTCAAATTAAATATTTTAGCAAATGGGAAAACTCATTTGGAAAATAGTGTTCTGTAGGAGACCATTAAAGTATTCATTCCTAGAAGATTGGGCAGTTAATAGAATTGCCAGACTGGATGAATCGAAAGCCAGAATTAAGGTTGCTGGGAGAAATATCAACAATCTAAGATGTGCAGATGACACCACACTGATGGCAGAAAGTGAAGAGGAATTAAGCAGGTTCTCGATGAGGGTGAAAGGGGCGACGCCACAAGCTGTATTGAAGCTTAACTTAGAAGTCTTGGCAATGGGTCCTGTCACTTACTAGCAAATAGAGGGAGAAGAAAGAGAGGCAGTGTCAGATTTTCTATTCTTGGGCTCGAAGGTCACTGCAGACAGCAACTGCAGCCATGAAAGTTAGAGACACTTGCCCCTTGGAAGGAGAGCTAGGGCAAATCTGGACAGCATAGCGAAAAGCAGACATCACCTCGCTCACAAAGGTGTATAGTCAAATTTAGGTCTTTTCCAGTAGCATCGTATTCCCTGTGAGAGTTGGACTGTAAGGAAAACTGAGTGCCACAGAATTGACGATTTCAAATTGGGGTGCTGAAGAAAACTTTTCAGAGTCCCTTAAACAGCAAGGAGACCAAGTCAGTTGATACTTAAAGAAATTAATTCAGGCTGTTCACTGGAAGGTCAAATACTGAAGCTGGAGCTTAAATACTTTGGCCATATAACGAGAAGACGAGACTCATTGGAAAAGGCCCTGATGTTGGGGAAGATTGAAAACAGAGGATGAGATGGATAGAGAGAGTGTCATGGAAGCAGCGGACGTGAGCTTGGGTAGACTTTGAGAAATAGTGGAGGAGGAAAGGGCCTGATGTGCCGTGGTCCCAGGGGTCACAAAAAGTTGGACACAACTGAACAACCACAAGGGATTGCAACTCATCTTTCACAGAAAAAAAAGTTCCATGGTACTTGCAAAGTACTATCCTTGGGAGGCAATCTTTTTTGTTGTTGTTTTTTCAGTTAGCCCTTGTGAGCTGCGTTAACATTGGTTCTTACCAGTCACATTAGTCTAGAAAGATGGTTATTCAGCAGGCATTCATCACTGTTCTAAATGGGAATGTTGGAGTTGGGCCTGTTGCGATGAGCTGTGTAACCAAGAGGGGTCCACGGCTGTTGAGTAAGGGGACCCCGTCAGTAGTGGCTGCCATCTTAGTGGAGGCCCGAAGGAGCTGAGCTGTCCACAAACACTCAGCATGGAAAAGGACACTGTTGTGGACACATCTCCACCAGGGCTGGATGGGATAAGAAGACCTAGGCAGAAAGATCATGGCAAAGGAATGAATGAGGGCAGGGCAGAAGCCACGGTCACCCCGCACTGTGTCAACTTATGTTGGAAATGTTTGGCTAGGCCGCGCTAGGGGATCCGCTCTCTTAAACCCCCGTCTCCTGTACAGTCATGCTCAGAATATCACCTATTAGAAAAACAACCCCGAGAGGTCCAAGGTGGGACTTAGTTGCATCCTTTGGTCATATTCCTCACAGCAGAGGAGGGGAGGATGGGTAGTCAGGCTAAGATCTAGCAAGCTAAAGCACATGTTCAGAGAGTTTTTGTTGTTTCATTTTTGAGTTTTAAAGTTCCTGTCAAAGTGCTGCTCCCCTCCCAATTATTTCATAACAGAGGAGTTTCTTTTTTTAAATCTTCTCATTGTTTCATTATTTCCATGTAATGCTTGGTGACATAAAGTTTAAAGAGGATTCCTGGGCCCCAACATTGGCCCTCAATTTATTTATAGACAAATTTTTCTTCTCAGTGAAATGCTAAATCCATTTGAGCACCCCTATTTAAAAAAGCCATAAAGACATTATCTTATAAATGCCTTGGTCATTTTGATTTGGGTTAAGTGTTGGCCATGTACCAGTGTAGCTGACAGACCTAGCAGAGCACTGGTTGGCATATGAGCACATGACTGCAGTTTCAGTAAACATGGTGGCCTTCCCTGAATGGCTTTGCTTTGGGTATCTTAATATTTTCTCTTATTGTTGAAAAAGAGCATTTCTTGTTTGCTGACTTAGTGTCTGAAGAGCTCCTATTCTGAGGTGTACCTCTGCATATCTGGAGGCAGTGTTGGTTGTCTGTCTGTCCTCATGTGTTATCATGATGTCCTCATTCAGCCATTCTCTCACCTGGGAAACGTTGGAGTTTACCTCAACTCCATGATGCTGGAGGCTCCATCTAGCTTTGAAGCGCTGTGACCCTTGTTTCTGACTGCCTGCAGGGGAGGAGGAGGAGGAGGAGGAGAATGTAGAAACATCCTCCTTGAGTCCAGTAGCAGAACAGGAGAAATGACTGATTGACACTTGGTTTTCCCTTTAAGAGGAATACATGCACTCAGAATTTGGTGAACATTTAATGTTTACATAAAAGATGAGAACTGTTATGCCTCCTTTTAACCTGGATTTAGTCAGAAATGACAGAAGTAATTAACTTGCCCCCTTCTCTGCTCTGGAGGGGGCAGCTGTTCCATCCCCACATCATGGGACGTTAGTCTCAAGGCCCTGCTTTACCCCTCTATGCCAGAGGGTTGGGCTGAGTTAGGGTCAGCAGGAAGGAAGCCTCCCCTCCTACCTTGGGCAGTGCCAGAATCTTGGGACTCTGGCCTTCCTTCTGCCTCCTCCGCTACAGTGGTGCAGAGTTTCTGGCTTTGTGCTGCAGGGCTCTGTAGCTGTGGGACAGAGCCCCTCTGACCTGCAGCCCAGGTTTTTCATGGCTTCCCCCCCCCCCGAACATTCGGGGCATCTTCATGCCTGTGGAGGATGTTTGGTTTTTCAGTTTCTTGTTTCTGTGCCTTCTTAACCATTTTCCATCGTTTCCCAAAGTCTGCTCAGATGAGTCTGTGACCTTGTCAGATCAGGGCTCCCTTCACCAGCTCAGGTCACAGCCATTGATACCCACCCATCCCACAAGCCTCTCCTCCATGTCCTCCCAAGGGTTTGCTCCACCAGAGAAGTCCACAGCTCTCCATCCCCCTCATCATCCTTCCCTCTTGCCACATGATCAGACCTTCTCTTCCTGTCATACTGTTACTCAATGACATCCTTTATTTCTCTTCTTCTCCAGCGTTCTTTGTGGTTTGTGGATAGGCTACAGCCTGCCTTTTCCCACCCTGTACCTCTCCATTGCCCTCAGGTCAGGTCAGACACTGTGCCAAGCCCTGGGCACATCAAGTCAAAACCAGCTCCATTCTCATGGGACAGATGATGTCCAGAGCCAGCTGTACACATCCAAGCAGTGTCATTGGGGGCAGTCTTAGAGGAAAGGCGGTAGCATGGAAAAGGACTAGGAGAGGCTTCTTGTGGAAGGAAAGTGAGGCTTGAAGCCAGGAGATAGATGGAAGAAGGGAGAGCGTTTCAGACATCAGGTGCAGCCAGTGAGAGGACAGGGAATCAGGGGAGGAAGTGTCCTGTGTCCCTGGGTCGTAGAGTACGTTCAAGGCCTGGAGACCAGGAAGAGGCCAGCTTCTGAATGGCTTTCAAGCCCACTGGGATTTTCATGGAC